TGCAGAGCTGAGTCTCCTGGAAATTGACCCATTCCTAAAGTACCTTCCCTCACAAACGGCTGCAGCAGCTTATTGTTTAGCAAACTATACTGTCAACAGGCATCTGTGGGTAAGCATAAAGTCTGGGGGTGTTGAACAGCTTTATTTCATCTTTTTTGTTTTAAAGATCTAGACTTGGAAACCTACCCTGATTAGCAGGTTTGGTAGATTGAACTAAAGACCTCTTGAGATTAGGGTTCTTCCACTTCAGTTGGAATGTCCCATCTAGCTAGTCTCACTCTTACTCCTCTTATCCAGAGCTTTAGGAGAAGTAGAAGCAGCAGTACCTTGTTCCCTTGATATAGCTGAATAACAAGAAACTTGTTGTGTAACCAAATGTCTGGCCAGTAGATTCAATCCATGCTTTAACCCAGAGCTAGCAGGGAATAAACTGGCCTGGACTTCTGTCAGAAACTCCCAACACAACTACATCCTAAAATGCCACTTCTGCTTGAAGTGATCCAAGGTGCCAAAGATGGTCTGAATACAGCACATCCACTTTTTTTTTTTCTCCAAGTGAGAATTGTAGTAGTAAACAACTTGTCTAAATACTGAAGTACTCCCTTTTATAGGAAATGATTAGGGGTGGGGTCCAGAGCAGGTCACTAGACATCTGCAAGGCTCCTATCTGCATTAAAGCAACCATACTAAAGGCCTAAAATAGCTGAAGATATGAGGAAGCATCTGGGATGAGACTGGGGGGGCGGGTTCTGCTGCCCTGGTCACTGCTTAGCAGTAATTTGGCAATGAAACATTCTGATACATTTCTTGACAGACTACTACTGTCAATTTGGAAGAAATTTGTCTAACCAAATAGAATTTTTCTCTACTGCTCAGCCAGAAACACTTGCTGCATTCACTGGGTATTCTCTGAGTGAGATAGTGCCTTGCTTGAGTGACCTACACAAGGCATGCCTGGATGCCCCCCATCAACAACAGCAAGCAATCAGGGAGAAATACAAGCTGTCAAAGTAAGTGCCAAAGATGCAGAATGTTTTCTTTTTGTACCCGTTGCCTTAAATTTAAGGGAGGGATTAAAACTGACTACATCTCCCTCTGATTGGTGTAAATAAGCACTGCTCTTCTGACTAGCCCAGTATATGGGGAAGGCTCATGTGCAGTTAAGAGCTGCTTTTAAAAAAAAGCCTGCCAGTTCCATGTAGCAGCTCCTGTAATTTCAAGGTGATGGCAGTAATTAATTGCCCTCCTCTTGAGGGGTGCATTGATGCTTCTGATGGAAAGTATAGTTTATCTATTCTTGTCAAATAGGAACCCTTGATTCTTTATAGGACTGGGGCAGTATCTTGCAAACTAGCTTGTAACTAGTTGCTTTTTTTCCTTGCAGGTACATGCATGTATCCCTCCTGGAGCCACCAGCAGTTCTTCCTCTTCAGTAAGGGCTAATGTACCAGCAGGCTGACTAAAACCCTTGCCTCCTGACCAATGACATTGGTCTTAGATTTTATAGGGCACTGCAGGTCATGTGTCAGTAACCATGGTGTATCTTAACTAGCACTTTTTACTATTTAATTCTTTCAAAGACTTCAGAGTCATTTTAATGTAACTGAAAGCACTTTTAATAAATACCTTACCGTGTAATTGGACCTATTGAGCTTCACTTGTCTAAACCCCAAGTCAAGGTATTATCTTTCAAGAGAAGAAAGCTATATTCACTCCTCCCAGGAACTAGTAATTGGTTCTTATCGTTTTCCTGGCTTGGGAATAGACAAAAGCAAAAAATCTGATCTTTTGAGAGTTAACTATTAGTTTCTAAGGGTCCTGCTGGGACCTAGCCGTAGTACTTGCCCCAAATTGTCTTAATGTTTATGAAGCCTAGCGCTATTTATCTCTTGCTCTGTGGGTTTTATGCTTGTTGGTAAGTTGTGTGTTTCCTGGTGTTTGGGTGTCTTCCCTAACCTTTCTCAGACTTTTTTTCTCAGAATGTTATCCCTCCTTCTCTCTTCCGTGCAATATGTTGGTAATTTAGAGAGTCTTTTGGTTGCATCTCTAAAGCTAACACTGCCTCTGTCTAGATCCCTTTGCTCTAACTTTTCTCTTAATGTTATCTACTTGAAATCTTATAGCTACTCTACCATAGCCAGATTTAATTAGATTCCAACACTAATTAAAAGTCAATATTAGATGGTCTGCAGTTGCTTCCAGGACCCTTCCCTAAAGACCTGTTTGCAGCTGTTCAGATAAGTTCCTGCTGATATGCCAGTATCTGCATATCTCGCCTGAATAAACTGAATCAAACTCGTGAGCTACTCTAGTAAGCATTTTGGTAAAATAAAACTGTTTACTACGCAGAGTTAACATAATCAAGTTTTTCTTTAAGATACCATTTCATTTTGAAATGGTAAATGTTCTAAATCTGAGGACTGATTTCCCCATCTTGAGAGTATGAGAAAAGCCTAGAAACTGCCAATTTCTCTGGCTAGAGCTTACATTTCTTTGGAAAGATTCTCCACAGGTATGTCTTATCAGACTGGAAGCCCTGGATTTATTTTATTTTTATTTATTTTTGCCTGCCTTCTTATGAAACTAAAATTTCAGGAGGTGGTGATTCCTGAAGGGTTGTTAAGCCTTGAATGTCTACCCCTTTTTTTCATAAAAGCCACCCTTCTAAAAAGCTGACTGCCACC